AATGGTTTGACGAAAAACATGTATCGCCCTACGACGGTCAAGAATCGGGATACCGTTTATGTTTAATAACTTGAATCGAATTGATCTTTGAGAAAAGAATGTTAATTCAAATCACTAGTACATTAAACGATCTTTTTAAAATATTTTTCTTATTTTGGTCTTTTCTATTAGTTTAATATGACACAAGTGTGCATGGGGTAACAATGTTTACGTTTTATACTTACTATATAGATCGGTATTATTTCTTGAAAAACTTTTACTCAAACTAAGATTTAAGATCTGTTTTCCATGGTTCAAAGATAGTAGATATCTATTTCATTTCTACATTCTACATTCTTTTTCTACTTTGATAACAAGCCAAAACCACTATAGAAGACGTTTGAGAAGACACTGGAATATATCTTTAGTTTGACACAGAATTGTAACGTAATTACTACGTGACAATCAACGTACTCATTTACATTCCATTCCATCCTTATGTAACTTTCATTTAAGCTGCCTCTTTAACCCCCTACTCGCGAAATGGCGGAGTTGACAGAGACAGCCGCCATCTTGGGTCCGCTTCAGATTTTCAAATGTTAATATCTAGAGTTTAAATTTATTAATATTCAAACAAATTATATGGTAAGCATCAATAAAAGAGTCTCTATTTACATTCCAAAAATAAATGAAAAATATTGAAAAACAAAAAAGTTAGAAAATACGATTTTTTTAATTCGCTTGTCGTAACGACCGGAAATACTGACGACGAACGAAAGGTCGCGTCCTGGAGGGGGAATATCACGATCTATAATCCCTGAAAGTTTCACATTGATATCTTTTACCGTTCTTGAGTTTAACCGCGGACAAAATGTCATTTTAAAATCAGGAAATGTCCCATAACTTGGCACCAAAAGTGAATTTTCAAAAAATCGCTCAGAGAGATCAAGTTCATGTTACGACAAATCTTTTCTGATAATTTCATGTAATTCTATCCAGTAGTCTTCGAGAAATCGCGTGCACAAAATTAGAAAGTCAAAAAAATAATAATAATAATAAGAAACAGTAGAATCACTATAAGGTCTTCCGTGAAGACGGAAGACCTTAATAAGAAACAATAGAATCGCTATAAGGTCTTCCGTGAAGACGGAAGACCTTAACTAGAAAGTCTGCTATTGCAAGCAATAGCATATGTCGCCCCGTACTGGACAAGACTTTCATTTTAATCATCACTAAAACAAAAGTCCATTAGCTAAGTTTGAACAACCATCGAGTTGTATCATTCCTTTCCATTGGAAACGGAAGACCTTAATTGGGTACATCCCACTTATTATTTTTAGAATCGGTAGGAGAAGAAAGTAGTGCAGGAAAATTACAAGTTCCTAAATTTGCAGACTTGCATAAAAGAAATCTGGCAGATGTACTGAACTGAGCCTCATACTTGTTAATTGGCAGTATCTTTCCTATCATAAAAGCTTGGGAAATGTAATTTATGAAGAAGATCAGCCGAATTATTTTGTGTATTGTAACGCCAGTGAGAACTCTGAAATTTCCCTCTTTCACTTTCATTTTAGAGGTTCTACCGAAAAACGAATCTGACATGCCACCATCAATTCGAGTATTTCTGCATTGCAGAGAGCTGATGTTGTTATGAGAAGATAAATCATGTGTAAACTTTCTCAGTTTAGCGGAATCATGAACATTTTCGGCGATATGAATGTTTTGTATACAGTGGTGATCAAGGCTTCGCCAACCTACAGGAGTGGATCAAAGGATTTATGAATGAATAAAAACTATGGAAACGACGTACCAATTTTTTAATTTATACTTGCACTATCTAATGAAATAAATAATATACAAGTGATAGATATACAAGAAAACGCGAAATGATAATAAATGCAGCTGACAATCGTTATTTTTTTTTATATAGATAAAATAAAATATTTATAAATTCAAGAGACAAAACAGAAGGAGAATGAATGATGGCAAAATATCACATGACGGGAACTGAATTTTATGAATGAAGATTTTAAAAAGTTACTTGTAAGTTGTATATGTTATATCTGTGTATTCTACTTGGCTGTGTGCTTCAAAAAGGGGGGGTCGTCTTGAACATAGTAAATAGCCATAACGTTTGAACGGTAAGTAGTAGGGCTTTTATATTTCAAATATGTAATCCTTATGAAAAGAACTTTTATTGGATACGACGAACTTTGACCCTTTGACCTAGACCTTGGAGAACACGTGTACATCTGAATCTTTTTTTATGTTTCGTTTCTATGGCAACTGTGAGCGACTCATTACAATTATTTTGAAAGTAGAAATCACTTCGACACATTGCAAGGAATAAACATTGAAAGTTTCAAAACGATTGCCTGAGTAGTTATTGAAAATATCGATATTAAAGAATTTTAACTTTCACCTGGTTTCCATGGCAATAATCGATTATTTGAAAATTTTAAATGCGAGGCGCACAACTACAGATACTAATCATTAAAATAAGAAAAGTTTCATGACGAACGTTTAAGGGACCAGAGAGAACACTCTCGGACAAAATTTGTCGCTTTTTACAGGTTTCCATGGCAACGGTAGACATATTGGAACTGAACGACCTCACTGCACAACTACAACGAGTGATCGTCCTTTGAGGAAAGTTTCAGGAAGATTGTCCCAGCCATCTCCGAGAAACAGCCTGGATAAAAAAAACATGCGTACAATATCAATATGTCGTCCCCGACTCCGTTCGGGGCGACATAACTAGATGAGATCTCGTTGCGAGCAACGAGTAGGTCTTCCGTTGAATTTCTAGATAAGATGAGATGTGATTTTGACTGAGATATTTAAAAGAGAATGACATTAAGTTTATCTTCATTAATTTTAAAGTTTCTGTTTTTTTATCCAATATTCTGAACATGTTTTGTTCAATATTGCTTATAAAAATACTGACCCCTTTTTGAGAAGTAAAGCATAATTAATATAGCATTTTGGCCCCTGGTGATCCCCTATTACGTAACATTAGATCAAAATTTTATAACATATTGTTGCATATCGTTAAAATTAATATCTTTGCTTCTCAAAATGTATACTTAGTACAAAATTTTGATCATTAAAGATTTAAAGATGAAAGATTCTGGCCCCTCTGAGCCCCTAATTTTAGGAGTCGGCCCCTTTTTCTTGATATCAAACGAAAGGTCTTGTGAAGACATTTTGTTCGACACCTATTCAGAGATTTCTTTTCGTTTAGGAGATATGCTTGATGTAAATATTTAGGGGCCACTCCTTCAAGTCCTTAACGGGGCCATTTTACAAAAATTCAAACTATGCATATTGTTTAGCACATTAATCTATCCATCTTTTGTTCAATATTGCTTATCAAAATATACACCCTTTTTGAGATATGAAGCATTAAAGATTTGACATTCTGGTCCCTTGTGATCCCTAATTACGTAACTTTTAATCAAAATTGTATCATATACTGTTGCAAATTGGTAATATGGACATCTTTGCTTCTGTAATGTATAACAAAATATTGATCATTAGAGAGTTATAGATAAAAGACTTCTGGCCCCTCTGAGCCCTTAATTTGAGGGGTCAGCCCCTTTTTCTTGATATCAACGAAAGGTCTTGTGATTTTAAAGACTTTTGTCCTACACCTATTTAGAGATTTCTTTTCGTTTAGGAGATATGTTTATATAAATATTTAGGGGCCACTCCCAGAAGTCCTTAATGGGGCCGTTTTACAAAAATTCAAAGTCTACATATTGTTTAGAACATTATTCTGACCATCTTTTGTTCAATATTGCTTATCAAAATATTCACCCTTTTCGAGAAATAAAGCGTCAAAGATTTGACATTCTGGCCCCTTGTGACCCCTAATTACGTAACATATGATCAAAATTTAATCATCTTTTGTTGCAAATCGGTAATATGAACATCTTTGCTTACGTAATATAAAACAAAATATTGATCATTAGAGAGTTATAGATAAAAGACTTCTGGCCCCTCTGAGCCCCTAATTAGAGGGGAGAGCCCCAATTTTTTGACATCAAATGAATGGCTTTGTGATTTTGCACACTTTTTCTTCAATATGCTTAAACAAATTATGAACAGGTATGAAGATATGAACCAAAATGTGTCAAATTTTTGTGAGATATTTCTGAGACATTTTTCGGGCCCTACCGAGCTCCGGCGCCTTTCGCGCTAAAAAGATTTGGAAACCCAATTACAACTTACCAAACCTTCCTTTATTTTCACTGAAAATCTTAAGTCGATATCTTAAGTCGTTTCGGAGGAGTTTCCTGGACAAGCCGACCCTCTGAAAATCAGAAAATCCTAAATATCTCGAGATAAGAAGTGACGTCATCAATCAAAAAAATTTCCAATAAGGTTCAGATCAATACCTACCAGATCTGAAAGTTTCGTGAAATTTGGACGAGTCGTTTCTGAGAACTTGCGTGCACAAAATCGGTTGGAATAATAAAAGGGAAAAAGAAACCGAACGAAAACAAAAAGGTCTTCCGTTGGAGACGAAAGACCTTAATAATAATTAGAAACCGAGTAAAAACAATATGTTCCCAAACTCCGTTTGGGGAACATAATAAGATTAAAATGTCATTTTTTTTGATAAACATTATTATCTTTGTATATTTGTATTGAACTGTTTTTAATTTTTAAATTCAAAGTCCGTCGGATGGGACGTTAAATGGTGCCCCGTGTCAAGGATAACAACCCCCTTGGCACGCAAAATATCGTTTCTCTGGAGTTCGAAAAAGAGTAGGCTCACTTAGGGCCGCCAGAGAAATCCAAAACTTTCAAAACCGTTCATACAGTATATAAATTTCTCCGCCGAAATATGGCTGAAATACTGCCGACTCGGCGTAAAAAAACAATAATCAATCAATCATCAAAAACATCAGTAAACATTAGATTTCTTAAGATAAACTAACGCTCACAAAAACCTTGAATGTTTTTATCATTCAATAATGGCTACACAGATTTATTATTTTTTAAAAATGTTTTAGGTATGTCATCCACACCAATGCCGACAAGTCTATCAACAGGACCTCCAGGACCCGCAGAGATAGCCGTTCATCCGAATTAGCCAGTGTCACTTCAACAGGGACCCCCACAGATAGCCGTTCATCCGAATTCATCAGTGTAACAGGGACCCCCACAGATAGTCGTTTATCCGAATTCGTCAGTGTCACTCAACAGGAACCCCCAGGACCCCCACAGATAGCCGTTCATCCGAATTCGTCAGTGTCACTACAACAGGGACCCCGAGGACCCCCACAGATAGCCGTTCATCCGAATCCATCAGTGTCACTACAACAGGAACCCCCACAGAAAGCCATTCATCCGAATTCGTCAGTGTCACTACAACAGGAACCCCACAGATAGCCGTTCATCTGAATTCATCAGTGGCATTCCATCAAGTAAGGCACATGGGACCCTGCCTCATCTATCAACTATTGGTAAGGTTTAATAATAGAAGTTGGACCGTAAAATTTGATTGAATTTGATTTCATAATATGTAGAATAGGGGAAATGATTGGGAAAAAATGGCAGCATTGAATGACTTAACTTTATATCTTATGTTTCCATTACTTCAAAATGTTTATGAATCAAAACGACATTGCAAATTATTGTTTTACTTTGAAAATTAATTAAAAGTAAGCTACAGAGATAAACACTGTTAAACAAAACCCCAAAAATCATGTGCGTGACGTACATGTAAATTCGCCGACCAAACATTTATGTTAGCTTTGAAAAATATTTATTTATTTGTAAAAATATTTTGCTTTTGATCATTTGAAAAATCAAAAAAAAATCTTGCCACAATTAGCAGCAAACAAGAAGGATCTTCAGAAAAATATAGTAAAACATCTTATTCTTAGTACGGTATATCACAATAAATCACGCTATTTGACGAGAACAAAATATTGTACGACTTACTATATTGCTTGTTTACAAGTAATAGTTAGTTCGTTCCTCATTCAATTATGTAAACTGCGCTCAATTTCTTTTAGTTTGGATTAAAAAATAAAATAAAAACGAAATACTTGTTTCACAGATAACATTCCGATAAAAACTTACTAAAAGAAATTTACACGTTTCTAAACGTACGTTCACGCACGATTAAATCCGCAAACGATTGAGTATATTACACGCACGATTCTACACGATTGGTTTGACATCAATAACGTTCCAGCCACTGTACATAATGAATAGGTCAAATATAGGCAAAATAGACATTGTAGGTCTCACCACAATGACTATGTCTAAAGTTTATGAAACCTCACTGACTTATCAGGAAATACTTTTTATTCCAAATGGTAAATAAACCAACGAGATGGAGGGGAACTAATACACCAAATTTGCTAGACCTGATAATAACCAAGGACCCGGACACAGTAGTAGATATGGAACTGCAAAGTCCTCTCGGAAAAAGTGACCACTGTGTCATCATATTCAGCTATGTGTGCAGAGTGGATGTCAAGAAAACAAAGAAGAAGAGAAAAAGTTACAGCAAAGCTGACTATGTAGGACTAAAGGATGAAATTAAGCAGACAAATTGGAGGCATATTTGGGGAATGGCTCTGAAAACATAGATGAAATATGGACAAAATTTCGTGGAAAGATGGAGGATCTAGAGAATAAGTATGTACCTATTTATGAAATTGGAAGGAAGAAAAACCAGCAAATTCCCTTGGATAAAGAAACTCTAAATGTCATTAAAGAGAAGAATGCCTTGACACGCAAGTACCTGGTACACAAAGATCCAGATGTTAAAAGAAACTACAGTCGTACTCGAAACAAAGCAGGGAAACTAGTAAGGAAGGCTAGGAAGAAATACGAAAAAAATCTAGCAAAGGAAGCAGAGAGTAATTCAAAGAGAATATGGCAGTATATCAACTCAAAGAGTAAAAGCAGACAAGGGATTGCAGATTTATGCACTGACCCTAGAGATCCGAAATCAGAAAAAACGGATGATGATGAAACAAAAGCTAACATTTTAGCCGACTTTTTTAGTAGTGTTTTTACCAAAGAACCAGATGGTGAAGTACCACAAATTACAGCCAGAAACATCCAAATTCAATGGGAAGAACGTTACATAAAGGAAGAAACTGTTAAGAAAATACTCAGAGAACTTAAGGTGGACAAATCTCCAGGATTAGACAATTTTCATCCAAGGCTTTTGATGGAACTACATGAGGAGCTGTCGGTACCACTAACTATGATATTCAATAGATCATTGGAGGAAAGAAGGGTTCCAATGGAGTGGAAAAAAGCCAGAATAAGTGCTATTTACAAGAAAGGGAACAAGTCCTTAGCAGGAAATTATAGACCTGTGAGCCTCACATCAGTCGTGTGTAAAACAATGGAAAAGGTAATGCGGGATCAGATCACTGAACACTTCACAAGGAATGATCTATTTACAACAAGGCAGTATGGTTTCATGGGAGGGAGGTCAACCGCACTACAGCTACTCAGAGTCTTAGATGAATGGATGGAGGCATTAGATCAAGGCTACACCATAGATTGTATATATATGGACTGTCAGAAAGCATTTGATACAGTTCCTCATAGACGTCCTCATAGATGGATAAACACTGGGAAAATCAAGACATTTTATATGACTATAAGGCTACAATATCCGGAAGTCACGTGGTGAGTTATACTAAAACTGAAGTAGGATATAGGGAGTCCAATGAAGAGGATCCTTAGGGAGCCTGAATTGGAAACCAACGATAAGTAACGATAAGTAGTAGTAAATAGTTTTTTAAGGCTGTCATAAGTAAATAAGTTGTCAAAACTTCCTTTTTTCATACATGGACAGGTGCTATCAATAAAGATTGCTATGGCGTATATCGTCCACTACTGAGGGGGAAACAAATTAAGACTACTGTGCACAGACTTTATTTTTATTTACACAATTCAGAAACATTTATAACCGACATGCATATATCTCATTTGTGTCACAATAAACTTTGCATTAATTTAAATCATTTGACCATGGAACCACAGTCTGTGAATAATGCAAGGAGGACATGTTCTTTGGATGGTTATTGTGTTGGTCATGGTGGTGTAAACAAGCAATGTTTGTTTCAATGAGGGAACACGTTAAGCCCATACGAGTGTTCTTTTGATGTTGTGGGATAGGCAGTATTGTATAGGGACATTGCTCGCAGTTTTTTACTACTTTTTTTTTCCTCGACATTCTGTACCGAGGACTCTGTTAACGCAATTTATGGTAAGCACTGGCACTGGCGAGTCTCTTTGCATCATGGTCTTATGGAATGGTTCACTTTTTTCCATTTCAGTCCGACTTTTCCTGCAAGGATAACTGCAGACTTACCACTTTCATGTGAAGATGAGTGGACAGCAGAATTGCACATAGCAGTGAAATTCCTGGCCCACGTGGTATTCTTTGGTGCATAGGTGAAGACATGCCGATGCAGGTTTTCACACTTGTTGGTTGTCGAAAGACGACACATCCCCGAAACAGCTTGCAAATAACTGATTGAATACTGTCCATATCAGCAAAATCAAGATCCAAGTGTTTCCCATATGGTAGAAATTTTGTAGTCTAGCCTAGGAGATGGGTTGTGCAGGTAAAGGACATCTTCCTGCCATTGTCGTGTATGCCCGGGAAGCAAGGTAGTACATTCACAACTGCACTCTCTGCATGTCGCATGAAAGCGTTATCTGATTTAAACAATATACGTATTTTTACCAACTCGTATCTTTTTCGAGCAGGCATGCATGTTGCTAGTCTTTGAATGTAGGCATCTTTTCCTAGCGAATGTTTTTCTGAAGAGTCCTCAGCTTATGTATGAAACATTGGTAGTGCTTAATGTCCACTTCATGTTCACGTGAATAGTATTGCAGAGTTTTGCTTATCTGTGCAGAGGCATTACTTGTCACAGACCGTAGAGTTAAAATATTCTGCTTGCGTCTAAAGTCCAAATTCTTTTTTAACAGTTTAGACTTACTTGATGAAATAGAGTCCTAGGTGTTAAAATTCTTTTTGCATGCTTCATGATTTTGACAATTGCTTTTACGACACAATTTATTTGCCGTTTTCAATGATAACACTAATCTTGTAGGTGTGCTGCTCTCGACCACTGGGCAGAAACTTTGGGTTGCAGCCTCAAATCTTCCTTGCGGTCGGTTGTTATACGAAGTGTCAGTTTCAAGGTCTACCTCATCACCTTGACCGAGAAGTTGGTTTACGCGTTGTACGTAATGTTGATTATATTATCAATCATAGAATCCTTTATGTTATGTCTTATAATTTAATGCTATCCACACAATTAAATGATATCATCTCATATTCATTTCAATAATCTATATTATTTCTTTGAAAATCTTCTCTACTTCTGGGTATTTGAGAAACAAACCGAATACATAGTTGTGTTGAATAATACTGCCTATATCAAATTAGTGAATTAAATGGTCCCTGCCCCCCTTGACCTGAGGGGTGAGGTCGAAACCACTAAATTTAATGCAATCTTTAAAGATCTGTTTGCATGATTGTAATTAGCATTGAGTCCTCTACCAAAATTATGAAATTTATGACCCTGGGGTCTGTTGTTCTTAGGTGCTAATTTGGGGCTCAATAAAGTATATAGTGAAAAAGCATTATTTCTTTGAAAATCTTCTCTTCTCCTGGGTATTTAGTTAAATAGGTAAGTTGCTTCATGAAACTCAGGTGTCCTAAAAGGCTTGTGGGCTTCTTGTATAAATAAGTGGCAGTGATTGAAATTTGTTTGGAAGTATATGGGAAAAACATTTGGTGGTGTTTATCCTAAACAGAGGAGACAAGAACCAGTTTATGTGGTAAGTGTAAGAAAATAGTGCATTTTTAGCGCCATTTGTCATTTTGATTTTAAAATGGATGCATTTTTTCATATTTTAAAAGGAAAGTTGAATCGTAAAAGTTAGCGAGGCACCCCTGGGGGACACGTGTGTGTGTTGGAGGGGTAGGATGTTCTCCTCATGCAATGGGTTACAAACTGTTTACTGGCTAGAGGAGGGAAGAAAGGTGGAAAAGGCACACAAAGTAGTCCTTATGGCAGACAGGAAACATAAACGGAGTCAGTTCCGCTTGACAATGTAGAGTGCAGTCACCTGTCTCATAATAAGCTATGTGTGAACCCCCAGCACATGGTGTTAGAGTCCCACTCTGTCAACTAGGAGAGGATTCACTACCAGTCTCAGGGACTGTGCAGCAAGTTACACTTGCCATGGTGCAATATGTAACTATAGTTTTACGTGTTATATTTCATTTAGTTACGGGTTTTGAATAGCTGTGCTCATTTGTTTTGCTTAACTTTTGAGATTTTTGGTCTTTAACTGACATTAAAAACATCATATTCTTTCTATAGTTTACTTCC